AAAAGTTACGATTTTTTATTTTGAAAGAAGAGGACCACCCTAGTCACTGCCTGCCCAAAAAGGAAGATCTTATCTTGTAGACAAACTCTTCCAAAGGCATCAAACCCCTAGAGTGCATATTTTTCGAGATATCGATTTTTGTCGTGACATTTTAAGTTTTCGACCATATGCGTTGTTGTGAAATATTTCGACAGTGAGCATGCATAAGGGCGTAAACGCGGTGATCGATTCTCTTCGTCGATTTTTTCTTTTGTCGCTAGAATCAACGTTTCTCGGTTCGTTTGCTGTTTCTTTTGATAGCCAATACAACCTGTTAAAACTCTGCATTGAACAAATTTTAGAAAATTGTTTCGTTTAGCTGTAGCAATACAAAGAGCAACCGATGAAGAGAATCGATCATCGCGAATACGCCCTTATGTATGCTCATTATCGATTTGTAGATTGCGTTTTCCCCGCAGGTGAAAAATTTAGTATTTTGTATGAGATTTTCGCTTCGCGTCGATCTCTATATAGGCCTTTCCACCCAAACGAAACTTTAAAAGTGGACCCTACACGATGGCTTTTATTGACAATAATCGTACTGTCAATACATTCTATATTGACATCAATACATTGGTATGGACAATATTTCTGTATTCACATCATCAATATTATTGTCAATAATTCCCCTTTGAGTCAATATATTGAAACGTGTGGAGTTCGCTTAACTTCTATAACGGCTAGTAGTCGCTTTGTGTCTGCCATAGACTTCTCTGACGTTTGTGAAATGCACAAGAACTTTGGGTAAATTATAAGTATTAGTGCAAGAAAACCTTTGAATTTACCCAAAGTTCTGCACTAACACTTGTGCAATTCACAAACTTCAGAGAAGTCTATTGATGAATCTACGCGAAACTGCACCAGGGCATGCGACACCTAGGTATGAAATCCAAAACCACAAAAGTGATGATGTACTAAAAAATATTCCATACGATTTGACAGCTAGCAAAACGTCATTATCATTTTCACATCATTTCCATCTGCTGGCCGACCGTAGCGTAGATTCATCAATTGGTGAAGTGAAAGAAAATATAGCAATATAAGGCTGTCCACGAGACAGCTGCGATCAGCTGACTTTTTTGTTTACCAAGAACTTTTGACAGATGACAGTTCACTCATATGAATTTCTGCTTTGTTTATGTTTACATTCAGCACCAGATCACTCACACACTCTTGATTTCTAGCTGTCAGTTCCACTGAGAAACGTCTCTTGGATCACCTTATTATACCTGCCCTTTCTAGGAAAACGAGAAGCAACGGATTCATTTTTGCGTCGATTCAATTCTCAGATTCAACTTTACACGTTGTCAATAGTCTCGCAATATTGAAGGAGCTTGTAAAATCAATATCAAGCATGATATTGAGACCGTATGAGAGCGGAAAAAAAAATCATTTAATAGTTGATTTTGCTAATACTGAGTAGCATATCGAAATTTAGTGAGACACCTTTATAAATTACTATTGTAAGACCGATAAGAAATAATCTCAAATGTAAGTATCGATGAATAAAGATTTTTAAATGTTTACATCGAAATCATAGAAATTTAAAAGCATAGAATTACAGTCATAAATCAATAGAATTACAAACAGAATTGCACTATCTTAAAGGCATACGGCTATGAATTACTTTTTGTTCGTGACTACTGCTCATTTATGTCATGTAAAAATCATTGGGATATATGAATTTTTCAGCAGATTATCTTTATTGAATATCCAATGTAAGTAAAAAAAATCAACAATGTTAATTACGTGTAAATTAGTTTCAGTGTGCGTACCGCACTTACTTTATGTAGCGCAAAATTTGCGGAAAATTATCGATTTACTTTTCTTGGTAACCTTTTTTTTTCTTTCTATTCTATTCTACTCGGAACTTTAGATATCCCTAATAAACAAATACCATAAACGAACTGTATCTCAAATGGGTAAACTATCCCACAAATGTTTTAGATGATACCCCGGACACGTCGTAAAGCTCTCTATTATGGTTATTTTTATTCTCGTTTTTATTAGGCTTAGCAATGAACAGCGCCTTACTGGTAGCTATTCTTAAGCAGACGTTACATGTCAATATTGTATGCTCAATCCCTATTTATTGGTGAAGTTGAAGGAGTCAAAATTCCTGAAGTGGACCACTGATTTTTCACAAATCATTGGATTCCGTTCAAAATACGTCTATATATTGCTCTTACCACGACAAACAATAACCCAAAATATTTCGGCAAAAAGCGCATTTAAACAAAAGTTATAAACAATTAAGTTTTTTGGACCCTTTTTCGAAAAAAAATCTTATCTCTAGATCGGGCCAATGAATTTATCTCCAGTTTTGATATAATCACAAGAAGACATGTTTCTTCCAAAATCACTAAAATGTATTCATCAAAAATGTAATTTGTTTATAATAATTACAATTTTTTATAAACAAATGCAATTTTTTTGGTGTTCCCCGCACGATACAAGATTGATTTTTTTTTAGAATTGTTCCTTGACTTTTTTCCCATACAGAACCGTTTCAACATTTTTGTCACCAGTATTGAGAGCCGAGTTATAGCAATTTTTGTAACGCGCTGCACCAAGCGCACGGCGCCGCGTCGCGCCGCTCGCGCGTTCACGCATCGGGAAAGACACGGGAAAGATGAAACGAGGAAACGAGTTCGGACCAAGAGCGCGTAGCGACTCGCTTCGCGCGCGAGCGGCGCGTCGCGGCGCCGCGCGCTTGGTGCGGCGCGTTACGAAAATTGCTATAACTCGGCTCCCAATACTGGTGACAAAAATGTTGAAACGGTTCTGTATGGGAAAAAAGTCAAGGAACAATTCTAAAAAAAATCAATCTTGTATCGTGCGGGGAACACCAAAAAAATTGCATTTGTTTATAAAAAATTGTAATTATTATAAACAAATTACATTTTTGGTGAATAAATTTTAGTGATTTTGGAAGAAACATGTCTTCTTGTGATTATATCAAAACTGGAGAAAAATTCATTAGCCCGATCTAGAGATACGATTTTTTTTCGAAAAAGGGTCAAAAAAACTTAATTGTTTATAACTTTTGTTTAAATGCGAATTTTGCCGAAATATTTTGGGTTATTGTTTGTCGTGGTAAGAGCAATATATAGACGTATTTTGAACGGAATCCAATGATTTGTGAAAAATCAGTGGTCCACTTCAGGAATTTTGACTCAGATATTGCCAATTCAGAGAAAAAATAACATTTGGCATTAGATTATCAGCTTTAATTGAAGAATCAAAGTGACGATTGACTCACAGATGGCGAGTGGGTGAAAATGGTAATGACTATAGATACTATAGATTCCATAGATAAGCGGAAGAAAAGTATAATGTAGCCAAACAAACTGTCAGTTAGTGTAACCAAACGAGCATGACGTCATCATGGTGTTGTTTGAGGGAGAATTATTGTAATATTATGAGCACAAAACGCTTTCCATACTTCACATTCCGATTTATTTCGCGGACAACGGAAGAAGAAAAGATAAAGCAAACCATTCCTCTATACATTGTTGCAAAGATTTGCTTTGCACTTCCTTTTGAAATTTTACGCACGAAATAAAACAAAACTGCACAAAGAAGAGCTCTATGATGGCATGTACTTTTTTCACGGATGCCAGTAAAATCATTTATTTTTCATGGTTGTCACAACAACTTTTTGTGCCTCCACTTATCTATGGAATCTATAGTATCTATAGTAATGACGTATTGATATCTGTCAAATTGCATGACATTTTTTTAGTACATCATCATTTTTGTAATTGCAGATCTTAAAACTAGGTGTCGCATGACCAGCTTTGATTCGCCAATTGATTAATCTACGCGAAACTGCACCAGTGCATGTGACACCTAGGTTTAAAATCCAAAACCACAAAAGTGATGATGTACTAAAAAATATTCCATACGATTTGACAGCTACGTTATTATCATTTTCACATCATTTCCATCTGCTGGCCGACCGTAACGTAGATTCATCAATAGCATGTTGCGGCTTTCAGTTGCGTTGATTTTCCCCTGCAATGATAATATAACAATATATTGACATATGTACCGTCCGCAAGGCCGGGGCCGGTGGTGTAGTTGTAAGCGTGACTGCTTTCTCACCTCAATGGGTCTGGGTTCAATCCCAGCCGAGGTCGGTGGGATTTTTCTGAGGCATAAAAATATCTGGTCACGTCTTCGGAAGGGAAGTAAAGCCGTTGGTCCCGGCCCATGTGTGTTTGAATGGGTGCAATATCCTACGCAGGTGTGGAAGCTGCCTTCCTGCACATTTGATTGCCGTCAATGGATGGCAATCGATGTCCGTCGGTGATTGACACTATATTGCCGAACAGAGACCGACGTTAAATAAAGGACTGAAGAAGAAGAAGAAACGTCCGCTTTATGAACCAATTGGACGCGGAATATTTCTCAAAAAAATCAAAATCATTTTTTTCGGTAAAAACCGAAATTCTGTTTATAAAAATGAGTTCACAGTATTTCACTTAATATTTAGTTTTTTTTCATAATTTGTTTTCCGTCGATTTTGTTTTCCGTACTGAGTACGAATGCTTCCGACGCCAGGGAGGCAGCTCACACACCTGGACCCTACCTATCGACCCATCAACTCATGGACCGGGGACCAACGGCTTTTACTTTTCATGATCAGATTTTATGCCTCAGAAAATATATGCGGCGCCGAGTGGAATCGAACCACGCTTACCACTACACCACCGGCACCGCTAGTATTTCACTGATCAAACTAGTTTTGACAATCGGAATAAAGTGAACACATTCCCATGAATAATATATCAGTTTTTAAAAAAAGTTCTTCAATTTTTTCAAACAATTTCCGCGGCTCTTTGCCTTACCGGTTTATCGGAATATGTGTAAGGCAAATACACATGCTCAAATTTTCTGAAAACTCTAGTAAATGGTTTATGTTTAAAAAAAAAAGTAAATTTTCATTTCTTTGATTTGTCTTACATGTTGATCATATCGACTAAAGATTGTGATTTATTTATTACATAATAAGCTATGCATATTTTCAGAAGTCATAGAAGTTTTCCTCTATGTAATCCTTTAGTTTACTCGGCAGGGGCAGACGTGTGATATCGTTGGTATTAATTCGCTGTCGGATTATAAATCTACACATATGCTGTAAAGATGAAACTTCATAAAAGCGATTGATTGGCTTTTTCAACCGTACTGGGAATGGTGGCGTAAGAGGGGATGTTTGCTTTCCGAACCCAATAACATCGAATTCAGATTTTCTCATCGAATCATCAATCAGATCCATCATGGTTCCATACTGCGTAGGAGTTGTTAGTCCAGAAAATGTCCTAGAAAACAGATATTAAAATATTTATTTAGTATCATTACATCGTGAGCAAGATGCTAATCATCGTTGTTTCGTATATAGGGTATTATACCATGAACCCCGGTACATAGACATATAAATAGGACGTTTGACTGGGGAGTGAGTATGGCCCTAGCTGAAAAGTCATAAAACATCGGTAGTATAGGGAGGGGGATTACTTTATCCTATAACTTTACTTATTTACTGGTAAAAGTTTTACCAACTATTCATAGATCCAATTTTCATGGTTTTCATTTTTTGATGTTTAGGTTTATAGGAAAATTCGAATGCACAATCTAATGGATCTTGGATATTAGGCAGGAACAAATATTTTGAAATGACAGGTTCATAGTGAGAGAATGTACCATATGGTGCCCGTTCACTGATCAAAATCAGATTCACATCGTCAGGCCCTGTCCAAGAATAAGGGGATTGACGATGATTTGTCAAGTTTGATTTTGCATTTGCATACAATTATAATTTTAACTTTGCTTTTGTAAAGATAAGATAAATAGCTTACCTTAATTGAGTTGTATAAACTTGACGGATCATACACCTAACATAGTAGTAGTTACAGTGCCACATGATCTAACAACCACTGTCTGCAACTAATGTTGGAGGGGCCGGCAGGGCTGATAACGGATCAAAACTAACATAATTCTAACACTAAAATGATCCAGAAACTAACGCTCATTCATTACACTTTAAGTCATAAAGTAGTTTTATTTATTTTCGGTCGACATTGGTCAAAATTGGATGTAATCATGTAATCATAAAAAGTACCAAGATTATTTAATAGTCTAGTAACCTCAAGTCCGCGCTCGGTCACAATTTGTATTGTGATTAATCAACACTCAATGGGTAAAGTATGAAATTTGAGTGTGCTGAAGTCTGGCCAAGTAAGTAAATTAGGGTCTAATGATGTCTGAATGGACAATACAGTGCAGGTGGATATTTTTATTTTGGCCCTTATTACTAGAAATACTCAGAGGGAGAGATAGGCGGAGAAAACAAAATACAATGTGGCAGCAGGGATTTGTACCTAAATAATCTTGCAACCCAAGGGGTAAGTCACTCAGCACATTGTGCCGAAATTATATTCGGCACAGCTTGGGCACATCGATCGGCACATTTTCGGCATACCTTCGGCACAATCTCATAGGCATTAGTTGTTGTAAATAAAATGGGAGCACTGCTGGACAACTGTAATTGAAGTTGTTCAGAACATTACGTGCTGTTTGGCTGAATGTTCAGGAACATCTTTTTATTGAAAATACCAGAGGAATTCAGACCAGCAGTTCACTTATAGATCTAAATACGAAATGTTCCAGAATTAGTACCCTTTATTCAAATAATGCTGAAATTCACACAAAACAAACTAAAGAAGTCTATTCATCACCCTTAATAGTCGGTCTCCATCAATGCTTCCCACCGGTTCCAACTCTTTCCGGCTTAAAGGCTAGATTTCTGGTCTGCCTTTGAGGGCATTATAAAACACTAAAACACAGGACTTTTATTACCCTATGGATCACAAAACACCGAAATTTCACACACCCGCCACTTCCCGCGTCATCCTCCATCCGATTTATCCTTGCGATTTCAAACCAAAACATTCAAGGTTTCAGAAATACCGGGTTGCCGGGATGGGTGTTTTACAAACAATCGCAGCTTGCTCTATGACCGGCACAGTCGGCCGAGCAATCGGCATACTTGCGGCACACTGATAAAAAAGATGACCTAAGATTGATGTGCGGAGTGACCTACCCTTTGGTGCAACCCTTGCTAGAAGCTAGCATTTCACATGACTTTTACTTTTGATTCGATTTACTTGTAAAATAATAATTGAGTGCATGGCAATATTTTGCGCACTTCTTGGTGCTATTACTTAACCAACTAAAAGCAATTAATCAATAGAGTTAGAATATTGTTTTTTTTTTATTCAAAAAACTAGTTGAATTTGAGAAGCACACGAAACATAAAGGTGATTGAATTTCTGTTGGATTGCAATACTCTCTAAATTAATCTAGTAAGAATAAGAAATCTTCGGAAAAATTCTAATGGGAATGTTCGATTGGCTCAGATTTTGACAGACTACTTGGCTCGAAACATTCCTTCCGCTTATCTCTTCCTCTGAGTATTTCTACTTATTACCCGTTCAAGGTGAAGTGACAACTTGTCACTCACGGTGAAGTGATTCCCATTTGATTTACACGGCAATCACTTCACCGTGAGTGACAACTGGTCACTTCACTTCGTTTTCACCGTGAAGTGACACGCGTAATAAGGGCCATTAAACGCTCTAACAGAGTTAACAGGGTTAACAGAGGCAGAACGTGGATCACATTGCTGCTCAGGTGGACATCGCGATTAAAAGTGGGATGGCAGACATTAGACTAAATGTAAATGGTCTTGAAAATTTAATTTGTGAGAAATTGGATAATATGAAAAGTTCATTTTTTAAATTGATGCTGAAAACCAATTAGCTGTAATGAGTGATCAACGCAGTTCATTTAGGACGATTTAGTCAGAATTGGACCAAAATACCAGACGTAAAAAACGTAAAATAGAAAATAGTGATAATGATGATGGTGTTGATTTTCAAGAAAATGTGAGTTTTGCGGATGTTGTAAAAAGACATAGTCGTGCTAGTCAAAGTAAAACTACTAGTAACAGTAACAGTAAAAGTAACAAACCAGATAATCGTAAGACTCGTCCGGTCATTGTGATTAACCGAAAGAGTCCAAACAACCTTGCGAAGATACTCGTAAGTTTTTGAAAACTCAGTTGGATACAAAAACACACAAAATCAGTAATTTTAGGAATGGTAAAGATGCTAAGTGATGTGAATGAGTACTGAAAGCAATCTGGGGGAAAACTATAGTGCTGTTGTTCCCACTTCGGTGCCAAGATTGAAAATAGTGGGCATGAGTGATCAGTATTTCTCCGATGTCTTCATTGACTCCTTAAAAAGTCCAAATGAAGACATCGCTATAAATGATATAAAAGTAGTTAACATGTTTGAAAATCCACGCATCACTTACAACAAGTTTAGTGTTGTGATTGAAGTCGATGTCGATACGTATAAATATTTGCTATGTGCAAAAAAATAAATAAATGTAGGGTTTGATCGGTGCTCGATAGTTCCCGTGATTAATGTGTTGAGATGCTTCAAATGTGGAGAATTTCGACACAAGAGCATGGATTACAACAATTGTGAGAGATGCTCTAGATGCAGCCAACAACACAAATCGTCGGAGTGTACGTCAACTGTATTGAAATGAATTAATCCAGCTTTCCATGCTCGGTAATGGCGGCCTGTTTGTATGAATATATGTATCTTTCGATGTACTTTTTGACACTAACTGGAGGGCGTATGTTGTTCCATTTACTTCTGTTCCTGGGAGAGAGAAAGGGAGGGATCAAAATCCGAACCTCCAGATAGTACAGTGAAGGATACATTTATTCATACAAACAGGCCCCCATTACAGAGCATGGAAAGCTGGATTGTTTGAAAATGAATAAAGAACGTAAAATGAACTTGGACATCAACCATGTCGCATTTAGCTCTGAATGTTTGCTCTACAAAAGACTTTTTGAACAGAAGAAAAGCAGCTTGCGTTTCAATAAATAGCAGCCAAGTTCCAGGAATGTGAATCTATTCGATTTTTTGTATTTGAATATTGCGGGGTTGTCAACAAACTACGTAGTATTACCAATCGGTGGAAACTAATGATTTTAAATTGGCTTACTACTTGACTAGCCTATTGGTCCCAAGCAAATCGATTAATGTACCCCATTCTAGTCGAAATTCTAGTACTACAATATGTTTGTTTTGATTCGCTTTGAAAGTTTGACATTTTATCATTTCTTCGGGACCTTCTGGTCTTAGAGTTACCTCTATGGTATTACCATATAGGTAACTTTAAGACTAGTAGGTCCCGAAGAAACGTGCTCAACTTTTTGGCTCAGCTCTGGTACTATCTTCGGTCCCAAGCTAAACGATGCGCCCCTCGAAACATAGGAAAATCCACGAAACCCTCATTTTATCTGCCAAACTTTCATAACGAATCAAAACAAACATTGTGTAGTACTAGCATTTCGACTAGATGATTTGCTTGAGACCACCTTAATAAACAAATACCATAAACAAACTGTATCCCGGATGGGTAAACTATCCCACAAATGGTTTGGATGATACCCCGAACACGTCGTTAAGCTCTCTTTTATGGTTATTTTTATTAGGGCAATAGGCTAGTCAAGTAGTGAGCCCATTTAAAATCGCTAGTTTCTACCTGAGTACTGCGAACTCAGCCGATTTTATTTTTCAAGTGAGCTAGAATACATCTTGAAAATCTACCGAAGTTTCAAATTGTTATGCTAAAACAGCTCACAAAATAGTATATACATGCTGTCAAATGAACTCTTGGCTCCTCCTCTTCTGCTCCAGAAATAACGTACACTGATAAATCAAACTATTCCCATTTTGCTTGAAATTTAATCAATTTGACATTAAACTCAGTTTAATCATATCGAATGATTAAAAACTAATCCTCTCTCTCTAAAAAATAAGGATCTGATATTAATCCCAGTTTAATCATGGTTGATTAGATTGTAGATTATCTTTTTTTTAATATTTTTTAATCATTTTTGATTCTATTTTAAAAATTTTTTGATTGAATTTTAATACTTTGACTATATGTTTTTTAGTATTACTTCTACGTGAAGTCAACGATTCACATAGTTGAAGATGCTAATTTCAAATAACAGACTGTAGTGGTAATTTTTATACGATAGATGGGGTAGATGAAAGCATAGAGTTGATAGTTCCGTTAGAGTACGGCAGTGTGAAGATTGTTTTTTTTTTTATAGATATTAGACAAGCGAGCTAGGACAACTTTTAAGGAAGGTACAAATCGGTTTTTTCATCTCTCTTTACCAAACTCCCCCTTTGGAGAGGGATGGTGAGGGGTGTCCCCCCCGCCACCACTGGCAAAAGAGATGAAAACCGACCCGCTCATGTACCAACTGTGTGTTTGAAACAGTTCTACCGATTTTTACCGCACTTCAGTTGTTATTTGAAGGAAGGCATCCAGTCGTAGGTTTGAAAATTGCAACTATTGTTTACCCCTACCACGATATGTGCTCCTGTCATCGTCGACTTGACGATCTCGAGGGGACACGGGTAGGGTAGGTGCTGCTACTGTACCTTTCGACCATTGACAGTAATTGATGGTATGCTCCCATCCAGAGTTATGTACTTTGACTATATGTTTTAGTATTACTTCTACGTGAAGTCAACGATTTACATAGTTGAAGATGCTAATGACGTTTTCTTCGCTTCGCGCTCCTTGCTGCCTTGGAGATATCCACTTCGTCTTGCAAGCTACGAGAATCGCTGCCAATTGATCAATGTCGAGCCCTTACGTATCCAAAGAGATGTTTTCAGAGCCTTAACCGTCGCCGATACTCTGCAAGGAAGAATCGACTGCGAAGCAATTCTACAACAAGTGAACATTAATGTTCAACCTCCACTACGCTACAGTCTTATGCTGAGACTTCCACTTCTTCGAACTAATTATAGCATAGGGAGCGCTATTTACGGCTTGCAGCGAGTGTTCAACCGAGTAGCGTCGATGTTCGATTTCCGCTTGACACGGAATATGCTTCGCCGAAGATTCTCTACCTTTTTTGCTGACCGAAGGCGCTTGATGCCCAACAGAGCTAAGTGTAAAATTTAAGACTTATAAATTTTTAGTAACTTGACAATGCTTTCCTAGTTATTTTCGTTTGTAACTGTAGTAACTGTAGTACCTGTAGTATATGTATGTCGTCTGTATAATCTGTACTTTTTTTTACAACACATCATTGGGACTATTTTTCTAGTCTGTTGATGCAACTATAACAAATAAACAAAACCCTCTTTGACAACATGATGGCGCTGGCGTTGCAAAACTTACACTAGACACTAAGTGCTGGTAGCGCCAAGTGGCCAGTTTGTTGAGGTCGGGTATAGTTTCTGAGTATGGATTCCCTTTTTTAAGTAACTCAGATTAGCACAGAGTAATAGTTATTGCTAGGGAACTTTCTTTTGGAATCGTCTTTTCTTAATACAATTCTCATTATTCATACTATATTAATCATGATCAGTCTTAGAAAATGTTATATGTTTAAGCCCCGTTCTAGATTTGTTTGTTATTCATATCTTATGCATTGCAGCTCGCGAGAGGTTACCAAATATGGGTTCTTTTTCTCATCCACAATAGTTTGGGGGGAGGGGGCGATCTGAGAGCTGAATAGAGGCAAATAAAATAGGGAACACAACACCATGACCCAAACGACTAACCAACGCATGCGGCTCACATTTAACTTTGAACTATATCTTTCTTCCCCTCATGTACCAATATTACCTACCTGAGAACAAATGGGAACACGGCCAGATTTTCAATAGGAAGAAGGAAAAAAGCGAGAAAACGTAAAAGAGTAAGCAGTCAGAAAGAATTAGACCATTTGGAAACAGTCAATTTATACTGGACGGAACTGGTAAGTAGGATAAGAATTGTAAAAGGTGTGTGCTTGCATGATTTACGTATTTTAAAATTACCTATAAGCCACATGAGAACCTCATTTCCTTCAATTACTACTCCATTGCAGCACACACCTAATAATGATCACTAACATTTATATAGTTTCAGCATCATCGACATTTGTAATCAAAAGGTTTTTTTTTTTTTTTTTTTTCCTTTGGTTTGTTTTTTCCGTCGATCTTGTTTTCCGTGCTGAGCATCAATGCTACCAACGTGCCAGGAAGGCAGCTCACACACCTGGACCCTACCTATCGACCCATCAACTCATGAACCGGGGACCAACGGCTTTACTTCCCATCCGAAGGAAGGCGTGATCAGAGATGTTATGCCTCAGAACATCCCGGCGGCGCCGACTGGGATTGAACCCAGGCCTGCTGGGGTGAGAGGTAATCACGCTTACCACTACACCACCGGCGCCGTTAAAAGGTGAGTTGTAAAGTACAATAAATTACCATGCATAGATATAAGTTAATGTACCAGAACCTGGACGGACACGAGCCTACCCAGGGGAGGACCCGGATACCACCACCCATGTGTGTCTAGCTAGAGTATCGCACGAGCTGACGAGTGCAACGGGAAGGACAGTAGATGTATAGACTAGGGGGTTAATCTCTAGATAAGCCAACCTAGCGGTTGGCACTGCCTATACACTGAACAATTACAATTACAATAAATGCTGGCCCTTAAATTTTTACGAGCTGGAATCAACACTCAAGAGTTATAAATATTCACATTTATCATCCATATCTGCTGGCTGAAAGTGTCTATAACAAACAAAACAATAATCAAGATTCCGGATCTATCGATGCATATATGGTAACTAGTAAGAAAATAAACCGCTTTTGGAAATGAATTCGGGGTAATGGCCATTAAAAGTAATCGCGTTCGGGGTAAGAGTCCAAAATTCCTAATAAACAAATACCATAAACGAAATGTATCCCGGATGGGTAAACTATCCCACAAATGGTTTGAGAGTTCTGCTAGTCTGGAGTAAGTAAAGGTCTTAGAAGCGCACTTTCCCATAGGTAGCAACAATCTTAATCATATATGTATTAACTTACCAATAGTTATCTTTGTAATCGATTCTACAGTGCAGAGTGATACCAGAGCTTCGAAAACTGACAGCAAATTGATCCTTTTCGGTTTCCGAATCTCGCACTAGAAATGTACCATTGTCCTGCCTGGCGAGGCGCTTTTGAGCAGCGGCTCGAGTTAGTTTTCCCCAGTACCACCCATATTTGAGAAGATCTTCTCTTACTTTCTCCATCATAGCATCAATGTTGGTTGGACCAAGAGTGCTATGTTCCACACTGACTGCATCTCTTGTTTCATTCCTTGGTGTCACCGATGTTGGCGGAGCATCTCGACTAGATATCACAGGCAGGTTTGGAGATGAAAATCTGATAGGGTTCTGACTATGTCGCTCGATGACTATCCGAGCAAAATCGTTGTTGTCAGACCTAGGATTCGAAACGTTTGCAGCCAGACGGTCGCTTTCTGCAGCATGATTGCTTGTTCCAGAAATTAGCTCAGGTTCGTATGCTTTTATCTTTATAGAAGTAAGTTTTTTCTGAAATCGCTTACGAAGGGTAAAAAATACTCCACTGGTGTTAGTCAATTTTTCAGAACTTGCACTATTATGTTTTGTAGGTTCATTAATTTTGGAAGAACGTTTTCGCGACAGAGACATAAACCATTTAAACCTGTAAATATTTTCACTTTGATTTTGTTCATCCATGTTTGCCTCTTTAGGACAAAAAGTGGAAAATCCACCAAAATATCTTCTTTTCTTTCTCCAAGCTGACTGACAAAACCTTCAAAACATACTACACGCTATTTCAAAACTACCCAAATTTGCGTAAAATCCACCCAGACCGGTCAAAACCCGGGACGGGACTTGACAATCGAGCTTCTCACTCTTCTTAATGTTTTTGAAGAATGCCCTTCGGAAACTTGTGCGTGGTGTTTGACGGAGTTGACCAAGGATGCCAGGAATGTAAAATATTTATTCTATATTAATTTGGATTTTATGCGGAGTTCCTTCCGCAGCTTAGCAACATGTGCATCATTTTTGCTCAACACAATAAAAACAACCATAAACAAACAACAATATCCAACGCTTAAAACACGCAATGTACTCAATTTTCCAACTTTCCTTTCGCAAATATAAAAAAATTAACAATGCCATTCACGTCAACATTGATTCCGGCATCACTGCTAGCCAGATTGATGCGATCCCTCTGTCCTTTTTATTCCACGATTGCTACTGTCAAATCGACCAATCAGAAACTGGCTCGGATTTGACAGCAAATTGGCTCGAAATCGCTACCCGATTGTCAAGTCCCGTCCCAGGTCAAAACTATAGTCGCTATACACGCTAACTTGAAAGTAACCATTAATGGTTGAAAAAAACCCATTTTGAAGAAAAGTGGCTTAACTCATTAAATGAGTAAATTTTTTACCCATTAATGAGTATCTGTTACCCATTAATGAGTAATTGTTAATCATTAATGGGTAACAGATACTCATTAATGGGTAAAATTGTTTAATCATTAATGAGTTAAGCCACTTTTCTTCAAAATGGGTCTTTTTTTACTCATTAATGAGTACTTTCAAGTTAGCGTGTAGGCAGCATGTCCCGAGCTCAAATCGTCCACTGGGTCCCGAAGAAAATCATTATTATTTTTGGCTCACTCAGTACCAGAACAACGGTCCCAAGCAGTCCCAAGCTATTTCACTCACCCCTGCATGTTCTGCATGAATCCACACACCCCTGATGTTATCTGTCAAACTTTCATAGCGGATCAAAACAAACATAGTGTAGTAATAGAATTTCAACTAGAATAGGGTACGTTAATCGTTTGCTTGGGACCAATAGGCTACTAAAGTGGTGAGCCAATTTAAAATCGTTAGTTTCGTATTGATTGTTGGTAATACCATAGAGGTAACTCTAAGACTAGAAGGTCCCGAAATAACGTGCTCAACTTTTTGGCTCAGCTCTGGTACTCTCTTCGGTCCCAAGCTAATCGATTCACCCCTCGAAACATAGGAAAAACCAATAACCCCTCATTTTATCTGTCAAACTTTCATGGCGAATCAAAACAAACATTGTGTAGTACTAGAATTTCGACTAGAATGAGGTACGTTAATCGTTTGCTTGGGACCAATAGGCTAGTCAAGTAGTGAGCCAATTTAAAATCGTTAGTTTCGAATAAGCTGTTGGCTCGCTGAAAGCCACTCCTCGTGTTACCAAGCAACTGGAGCGATGCTTCACTGGGATTCGGTCACCAGGCGAGGAACTGCAATGGCCCTGACAGATCTGACAAAACTGGAAGTTATGCTGGCCAACGAAGGCATCAGCAGCACTTTTCGCAGAAATGGCCGGGAATCCACTATCGACGTTACTTTCTGCAGTCCGTCGCTGGTGGCAAACATGGATTGGAGAGTGTGCGAAGGATATACCCGTAGCGACCATTAGGCGATCCGATATGGCATCGGCCAACGGAATTCTGTGACAGTACGGAGGACGAGAACTTGTGACTGGAAGTGGAAGACGAAGGCATTCGACAAGGATCTTTCCGTTGAGGCACTCCGTGTCGGCAGGAGCCCCGTGGTTCTGAACGCGGACGAGCTGACAGAAACGTTAGTGAGAGCATGTGACACGACCATGCCGAGGAAACTGGAACCAAATAACAGACGCCATTCAGTTTAGCACCCTTAGCGCTAGTTGTCTCAGAGCCAGAAGACGTGTTCAGAGAGCAAGAACACAAGCAGACAGAGAGGAACGAAGAGGAGTGTTTCGAGCAGCCAGGGCCGCACTTAAACGAGAGATAAAGCAGAGCAAGTCGAACTGTTTTAAGGAGCTGTATCGAGACGCTGATGCCAACCCCTGGGGCGACGCATACCGAGTCGTGATGGCAAAGATCAACGGTCCAACGATGCCCGCTGAAATGTGCCCAGAGAAGCTGAAAGTCATCATGGAAGGACTTTTCCCGAAGCACGACCCAACGACCGTACGGAGAAGGAGAGGGAGATAACATCGAAGTCACCAACGAGGAACCCGTAGCAGTGGCGAAAGCATTGATGGTGAAGAAAGATCCCTGTCCGGATGGAATCCCCAACGTATCATTGAAAGTGGTGATCCAGGTGTCCCCGGGCATGTTCAGGATGGTGCTGCAGAAATGCCAGGACGAGGGTCACTTCCCTGACAGGTGGAAGATACAGAAGCTAGTGTTGCTGCCGAAACCACGAAAACCACCGGGGGATCCAGCATCGTATAGGCCTATATACCTACTGGAACACACTCGGAAAACTCTTGGAGAAGATCATCCCAAACAGGCTGACGATATGCACGGAGAGTGAGCACGGATTGTCTGAGAGGTAGTTCGGATTCCGGAAGGGGAGATCGACGGTGGATGCAATTCGGACAGTGGTCGAGAGAGCCGAGAAGGCGTCCAAACAGAAGCGGAGAGGAGATCGATATTGCGCCGTGATTACGATCGACGTTAAGAATGCGTTCAACAGTGCCAGTTGGGAGGCCATCGCCGAAGCGCTGCATAGAATGATGGTACCTGATTACCTGTGCAGGATCCTGAGGAGTTATTTCCAGAACCGAGTTCTGGACTACGAGACAGACATGGGACAGAGATCGATTAAGATCACAGCGGGAGTTCCACAAGGCTCCATCCTTGGCTCAACGCTGTGGAACGGGATGTACAACAGCGTGCTAACGCTGAAACTGCCCAAAGGAGTTGAGATCGTTGGCTTTGCGGACGACGTCGTCTTGACGGTAATAGGCGAGACGCTGGAAGAGCTGGAAGTGTTGTCAACCGAGGCGATCGACATGATTGGTAACTGGATGCAAGGAGCGAAGATGCAGATAGCTCATCACAAAAAGGAAGTGTTATTGGTCAGTAACTGTAAAGTGGTACAGTGAGAAGAAATCACCGTCAGGGAGCACACCATAGCCTCTAAGCGTGTTTTGAAATACCTGGGAGTGATGATCCATGACCGGATAAACAAACATTGTGTAGTACTAGAATTTTGACTAGAATGGGGTACGTTAATCGATTTGCTTAGGACCAATAGGCTAGTCAAGTAGTGAGTCAATTTAAAATCGTTAGTTTCGTATTGATTGTTGATACCACACCGTGCCAACTACACTACAGGCCAGACTTCTTGAAGCTTTCCTAAACCATACTTTAAAAAAAACCAACATATTCACACACACACATGTACAAGGCTGGCAAACGACTGGAATAATGCGTACCATTGGTACTTCGTGTACCTGCAGGTATAAAATAGACCCCAACGCCGTCCGTTGGCGTAGTCACTTAGCCTCTTGTCCAGTAACACCTATCATTACCTCCTAGCGGTGCCAGCTGGGGTACGAGTAACTATAGGAAAGATCGGGTAACCAACCCCGGTGGGACCTTGGTCGTATCACAAACGAAGTGACAGACGGAGCGGCTCGAAAACTTTGGTGACTAACCTGCTATTGAAATTTTTCAGTGTACCACATGGCAACACCACAACTACTGGATTGTACCACATGGCAACACTACTACTAGATTGAACTAGCATTTTCACCAAATGTACTAGAATGTTTTGGTTCTATCTCTTTCACTCTACTCAAAACTGAAATGCATAAAAAAATGACAAAATGATACGCACTCTTTGCACACTGTCAAAGAATCATTGTACTCAAAATAAACTTTGTTCAAATCAAAACAAAAAACTAACCCATCTGGTGGATGATGGCACAAGCTTCCAAGAAAATTCTATTACAGTGAACCACATTATTTAAATGGATTTCTTCGCCAGTTAGTCGTCTGTCACTTCGTTTGTGGTCGTATGCTGACAGGGAAGGTGGGCCCCCCTCTACAGGGCTTCTACGTGTGCCAGCGGGCACATTAGGATCGATGCCAGTAAGATCCTTATTACGGCAAACTGGTCACGGCATGGCATAATGGACACGACATGGCACACTGATTGGATCACACGCGCAGGGCTGACAGTCGTGCTATTCTGCTCCCTGAATAAAGAAGGGTGACACCTTCTTGAAATGGCGAGTGGGCTAATGGTGCGGCTGCCCCCGTCCTGGTAAAACCTTGGTAGGCCTCCGGATACGTTCGAAACTCGTCACCTTAGATGGTGACTTAATTGAGTACACAGCAAAAAAAAAAGTAATATCGTTCAATGTTATTTAAGCTGATGTATGAAATAACGATGTAATAGCAAAAAGCAAATACAATATTACATCAATGGATGTAATTTTGTTCGCAAAATCGATGTACAGCGTACAACCATAGAGGTAACTCTAAGACAAGAAGGTCCCGAAATAACGTGCTCAACTTTTTGGCTCAGCTCTGGTACTCTCTTCGGTCCCAAGCTAATCGATTCACCCCTCGAAACATAGGAAAAACCAATAACCCCTCATTTTATCTGTCAAACATTCATAGCGATTCAAAACAAACATTGCGTAGTACTAGAATTTCGACTAGAATGGGGTACGTTAATCGTTTGCTTGGGACCAAGAGGCTACTAAAGTGGTGAGCCAATTTAAAATCGTTAGTTTCGTATTGATTGTTGGTACAACGTTATATTACACAACCGATGGATTGACCTGGTTGCCTCGCTGGTTGCAGCAGTTTGGATGTAATATTCAACAACTTTTTTTTCTGTGTAGGCTCAGATCCCTAATAAACAAATACCATAAACGAACTGTATCTCATATAGGTAATCTATCCCACAAATGGTTTGTATGATAACCCGAACACGTCGTTAAGCTCTCTTTTATGGTT